AACCGGTAAATTGGTCGTTTAAAGGCATATTGGAAGGTTCATTCCACCCATCCAATTGGACTTCTGGAGGGTATTAGGGACCATTCTAAACTTTTCGGCAATTTTTATTTTTGGGAGAAAAAAAGTTAAAAAATTCCAAAATTGAATGCTAATATCCACGCTTTTTGAGAAATTTTGGAGTCATTGGGGTCCGGTTTCGAAAAGTCTTGAAATTCTAGGGAATAAATCTCAGAGTCATATAATGTCGCATGGAACAATATATGATCATTATTTGTTATCATAAATGTTCGTGGTAGACTTGAGTTAATGAAATCGGTGTAAGTTGTAAATAGATAAATTGGTCATTTAAAGGCAAATTGAATGATTTCATCCACCCAATTGGACTCCCGGAGGATATTAGGGTCCATGGTAAACATTTCAGCAATTTTTATATCCGGGTGAAAAAAAGTCAAAAAAAAATCTAAAACTGAAGGCTAATATCCACACTCTTTGGGAAATTTTTAAGTTTTCGAAGGCCTGTGTTGAAAATTCTTGAAATTTTATGAGATACAACTCGTAGTCATATAATGACGTTTCGAACCATATATGATCATTATTTTTTGTCATAAATGTTCGTGGTTGGCTTAAATTAATGAAATCGGTGCAAGTTGTAAATTGGTAAATTGGTCGTTTACAGGCATATTGGATGGTTCCACCCACCCAATTGGACTCCCGGAGGATATAAGGGACCATTATAAACCTTTCGGTAATTTTTATTTTCGGGTGAAAAAGTCAAAAATTCCAAAATTGAAGGCTAATATCCACGCTTTTTGAGAAATTTTGGAGTCATCGGGGCCCGGTTTCGAAAAGTCTTGAAATTCTAGGGAATAAATCTCGGAGTCATATAATGTCGTTTGGAAAAATATATTATCATTATTTGTTGTCATAAATGTTCGTGGTAGGCTTGAATCAATGAAATCGGTGTAAGTTGTAAATAGGTAAATTGGTCATTTAAAGGCAAATTGGATGATTCCACCCACCCAATTGGACTCCCGTAGGGTATTAGGTTCCATGGTAAAAATTTCAGCTATTTTTATATGCGGGTGAAAAAAAGTCAAAAAAATCTAAAACTAAAGGCGAATATCCACACTTTTAAAGAAATTTTTGAGTTTTCGAAGGCTGGTGTCGAAAATTCTTGAAATTTTATGTGATACATCTCGTAGTAATATAATGCCGTTTCGAACCATATATGATCATTATTTGTTGTCATAAATGTTCGTGGTTGGCTTAAATTAATGAAATCGGTGCAAATTGTAAACCGGTAAATTGGTCGTGTAAAGGAATATTGGATGGTTCCACCTAACCAATTGGACTCCCGGAGAGTATTAGGGACCATTCTAAACTTTTTGGCAATTTTTATTTTCGGGCGAAAAAAAGTTAAACAATTCTAAATTTGAAGGCTAATATCCACGCTTTTTGAGAAATTTTAGAGTCATCGGGGTCCGGTTTCGAAAAGTCTTGAAATTCTAGGGAATAAATCTCGGAGTCATATAATGTCGTTTGGAACAATATATGATCATTATTTGTTATCATAAATGTTCGTGGTAGACTTGAGTTAATGAAATCGGTGTAAGTTGTAAATAGGTAAATTGGTCATTTTAAGGAAAATTGGACGATTCCACCCACCCAATTGGACGCTCGAAGGGTATTAGGGTCCATACTAAACATTTCAGCAATTTTTATATCCGAGTGAAAAACGTCAAAAAAATCTAAAATTGAAGGCTAATATCCACACTTTTTGGAAATTTTTTGAGTTTTCGAAGGCCAATGTCGAAAATTCTTGAAATTTCATGACATACATCTTGTAGTCATATAATGCTGTTTCGAACCATATATGATCATTATTTGTTTTCATAAATGTCCGTGGTTGGCTTAAATTAATGAAATCGGTGCAAGTTGTAAACCGGTAAATTGGTCGTTTAAAGGCATATTGGATGGTTCCACCCACCCAATTGGACTCCCGGAGGGTATTAGGGACCATGCTAAACTTTTCGGCAATTTTTATTTTCGGGCGAAATAAAGTTAAAAAATTCCAAAGTTGAAGGCTAATATCCACGCTTTTTGAGAAATTTTGGAGTCATTGGGGTCCGGTTTCGAAAAGTCTTAAAATTCTAGGGAATAAATCTCGGAGTCATATATATAATGTCCTTTGGAACAATATATTATCATTATTTTTTGTCATAAATGTAAGTGGTAGGCTTGAATTAATGAAATCGGTGTAAGTTGTAAATAGGTAAATTGGTTATTTAAAGGCAAATCGGATGATTCCAACCACCCAATTGGACTCCCGGAGGGTATTAGGATCCATGGTAAACATATCAGCAATTTTTATATCCGGGTAAAAAAACAGTCAAAAAAATCCAAAACTAAAGGCTAATATACACACTTTTTGAGAAATTTTTGAGTTTTCGAAGGCCGGTGTCGAAAATTCTTGAAATTTTATGAGATACATCTCGTAGTCATATAACGCCGTTTCGAATCATATATGATCATTATTTGTTGTCATAAATGTTCGTGGTTGGCTTAAATTAATGAAATCGGTGCAAGTTGTAAACCGGTAAATTGGTCGTTTAAAGGCATATTGGATGGTTCCGCCCACCCAATTGGACTCCCGGAGGATATAAGGGACCATGGTAAACATTTCGTCAATTTTTATTTCTGGGTGAAAAAAAGTCAAAAAAATTCCAAAATTGAAGGCTAATAATATCCACACTTTTTGAGAAATTTTGGATGTTTCGGGGCCCGTTGTCTTAAAGTCTTGAAATTCTAGGGGATATGTCTCGGGGTCATATAATGTTGTTTCGAACCATATATGATCATTATTTGTTGTCATTAATGTTCTTGGTAGGCTTGAGTTAATGAAATCGGTACAAGTTGTAAACCGGTAAATTGGTCGTTTAAATGCAAATTGGAAGGTTCCACTCACCCAATAGGACTCCCGGAGGATATTAAGGACTATGGTAAACATTTAGGCAATTATTATTTGCGGGGCTAAAAAAATTCGAAAAATTCCAAAATTGAATTTCACATTTTTTGAGAAATTTTGGAGGTTTCGGGTAGAGTTGTCAATTTGGGTAAACAGGTCAGGTTTGGGTCGGTAAGAGTGGGTTGGGTCATGCTTTAGTCGGGTCATAGATCTTATTGGGTTTGGGTCGGGTTAATAACAGGTCGGGTTATATTCGGGTCGGGTGAACATTAGGTCGGGTTAAATATGGGTTTTCATGGGTTAAAACGGATTTAGGGTAATTGTCGGGTTCGGTTCAAGTCAATAATTTACGGGTTATAATTAGGTCGGGTCATTTTCAAGTCGAGTCATTCTCGGGTTTAAGTCGTGTTCGGTTCAAGTCAATAATTTGCGGGTTATAATCAGGTTGGGTAATTTTCAAGTCGAGTCATTTTTGGATTCAAGTCGGGTTATGTTCAAGTCAATAATTTGTAGGTTACAATCAGGTCGGGTCATTTCTAAGTGAGGTTATGTTCGGGTTCAACTAACTATAAATAGATAATTATCATTTTTATCAAGCTAATTATTTCCTTTGACTATAATATATATGGCAATATACTACGGAATTATAGTCTATAATTTAGGATGATAATTATCTCCTTTGACCATACAACAAATATATATTATATTTAACTCCTAAATTTGAGGATGATGCTCCTTTCTTTTGCTGGCTTGGACCGACTTGGTCTCCCTAGACAAAATGCTTTGATCAACAATAATAAGGTGGTTTAAAATCTAAATTGCATTTAAGGTGATTTAAAATCGGGTCAGGAACAATTTGGGTTGAATTTAGGTCGGGTCAATAACAAGTCGTGTTGATTTCGAGTCGAGTTAATAACAGATTGGGATGAATTTTTGGGTCTGCTTAGTAATAGGTCTGGTAAAATTCGGGTCGGGTCAATAAGTCAGGTTGAATTTGGGTCAGGTCAATAACAAGTCGGGTTGATTTCGGGTCGGGTTTGTAACGGGTTGGGTTAAATTCGGGCCAGGTTGAATTCAGGTCAGGTTAGTAACAAGTCGGGCTAAATTCGGGTGTTGAAGAGTTAAAACGGGTTTGGGTCAATTTCGGTTCAAGTCGGGTTCAGTTCAAGTCAATAATTTACGAATTACATTCAGGTCGGGTCATCTCCAAATCAGTTCATGTTCGGATTCGGGTCTCACATACTTGGGTCAACTCGGGTCTAGGGTTGGTTTCAGGTCGGGTTTGGGTCACCATTTTTTTCGAGTTCAGATGGGTCGGTTAATAATCGGATTTGAGTCGGTATTTCGGGTCGAGTCAAATTTTGACAGCTCTACTAACAAAATTGTACCAAACATGGCAAAGGCTAGGCACAAAATTTCAAAATTGGTTCTTAAAATAAGCAATTTGCATAATTTCAAAAGTTATATATACCTCCGGTTCAAATTACTCGCAACTTTGGGGTATTATTTGTGAGGTATAAAATATTCCAAAGTTGCGAGTAATTTGGACCAGAGGTATTACTTTGTATGCCCTCATCTATGACCCTTATTTCCCAAAAAAAAAATGATGTTCTCTTATGTGTTCAAAAGTTGTTTTTGCTTTAAATACTAATTTTTATTTCACCTTAGTTGTATATCAATGGTCTAGTAAAATTGTAAAAATCATGTTCTCTTCATGTATTCAAAAGTTGTTTTTGCTTTTAATACCGATTTTTATTTCACATTAGTGATGTATCGCTAGTCTTGTAAAGTATATATACAAATTTTGGATTGTACGGGAAAAAAGTCAAAAATGTTGGGGAAAGAAAAAAAATTGCACCAGCCGGGAATCGAACCCGGGTCTGTACCGTGGCAGGGTACTATTCTACCACTAGACCACTGGTGCTTATTGATAACATTTTCTTTCTTTATTAACTAAATAATAATAATTTCAAAGTTATCTGCATTGCTTATCCCCCAAAAGAAACGAGTCCATAAGATTGATAAGGTGAAGAGATTTACCGAAGAAAGGAAAAGGAGAAGAGAAAAATGGTGGTAAGTAGTAGCAGTGCATTCAGATCTTCATTGAGATCATTTTTATTACCAACGAAAGCGACGAAACTATCATTAGGCAACAGAATTACCCTGCTTCCACTTTTTAATGTTGCTGCTCTTTCATCTCAAGTTACTTATCCTATCAAGTAATGTTCTTATTTATACATTCTTTTTTTTTCAATTGTTTAAACTATCATATTGTATAGCATATAACTGTTAGTTGGAAAACAAGAAAAGATTATGATCAAATCCTACACAATTCTTTCATTAAATCTTACCGTTTGAGCTTGCTAGTTTATGAGATTGGATGATGCTTAGTACTATTTCATGGTCTAGTATGATTCTTTGAGTATTTTACAAGAGTCTTTCATTTGATTCTATTCAATATAAGCTTGATATTATTTCAAATTTGTGATGGGTTGTTACTTGTACTAGTAAAACCTTATTATGACCAATAATATATAGGTTAGGGAAATCTTCAGTAGTTATGATTTATGAATTGTATATACAAAGCATCAACTAATTTAAAGTCATTACCTGGTGGTATTTTAGTTGATAAAAGTGCAGAATTACATGTTATTATATCTGATGATTGTGAATTGTGATTATTCATAGGTCATAGATGTCACTTTGTGTTGGAACACATCTTATACCTCATCCAAACAAGGTATGTAGGTAGTCTTCTTAAGTCTTTTGCTGCTTTCTATTTTTCCCGCGGCATTCAATTCTTTGTATAGCCTATGAAAGGGAATTGATATGATAGTTCTGCCTTTGTAGATTGAAAGGGGAGGAGAAGATGTTTTTTCATAAGCAGCCATGGCGGTGGAGCTATAGCTGTTGCAGATGGAGTGTCAGGGTATGCAGTATGCATACTTCCTTACTCTTTACTAACTGATACTGCCTGAATAGTCGAATATATATACTTTGTGTTGCGACTGCTGCCATTACTGTGGCAGGTGGGCAGAACGCGATGTTGATCCTGCATTGTTTTCTAGGGAGCTGATGGCACATGCATCATCAGTGGTGGATAGCAGTGATTGATCAAGCTAGAAATTCCTCTGTTTTCAAAGCTTATCTTTACCTTATTGGTATTAATTTTAAGATTTTGAGAATCCAAAAGCAAGCACTAAATCAATTAAAATGAAACAAATTGTTTTTGTCCATTACAATTCTCTTTAATATAGTTTGAGGAGCTATTCATAGTATTTGTGCATTCAAATAACGGAATATATGACAACTCAACAATTGCTTAATATAAATACTTCCTTCTCCGTTTCTTTTTAGTTTTAATATTTGCTACAAATAAAAACAAGCATAGGACAATATAATAAGTACCTCATAATGTCATAACTTTACTTATGCATTACCAATTTTGTTGAAGAAAGCCTCAAGGTCAGAAGCAGCTGAACCTCCGTCGAAAATTGCCTTTCTACAAGTATCACGGAAATTTGTTGCTCTTCTAACCATCTCCTTTCGATCATCATTTTCAGGGTCCATAAACTTTCTTACAAGTCGTGCTATTTCCTGCCTTGAAACTAATTTTCCCGCGTCATTATTTATCATTCTCCATCCAATCTTCAAATCATTCACAATGAACTTGCTGTTGAGAGTTTGATCCCAAAATATAGGACAAGTGAGCATAGGAACACCAGCATATATACCTTCTGAAGTCGAATTCCACCCACAATGCGTCCAAAATCCTCCTGTAGAAGGGTGACACAACACCCTTAATTGATCACACCAAGGTACTAAAATTCCGTCTTGATCACTAATGTCTCCATCTTTGAATCTTGAATTATCACCGCGAGTTACCCACATGAATTCGACACGACTCTCCTTAATGCCCGCGACAATCTCTTGGATTTGATCATTTGAGGCTGAAAGAAAACTTCCTTGAGAAATGTACAACACTGAGCCTCTTGGTTGAGAATCCAACCACTTGAAGTAGTACTCCTCGTTGTTAGAATCTCCAACTAATTCACTACTAAGGTTGAAGTATGGTATCATTGGACCAATGTTATAAATTCGAATAGGAAATTTTGATTCAAGGCAATCTATCACTTGCTCTTCAAATTCATAGATAGATGTGGACAGAATATACTGTGCATTGCCCATAACAGCAACTGCTTCGAGTACACGGTGTAATATCTTCCTGCCATCTCCATGGTAGAATGTTGGCAAATCCGCAATAGTTGTTGAGGGGAGACCCGGAATATAGTCCACAATCTCATCTCCTCTTTCTAGTTTATACAAAATGTTCAAGTTAGCCCTCTAATGTTGAAAACTTGAAAGAAAATTAGTATATATTTTGTTGTTAAGGCTCTGTTTGATTCACCTTAATTTTGCTGAACTGAAATTATTTTTATTGAACTAAACTTATTTTTACTTACTGAACTGAAATTATTTTTACTAATTTTTTATTATAATTCTTCTTTAAGAAAACTGAATTTTACTGAACTGAACTTATTTTTACTGAACTGAAATTATTTTTTTTGAACTGAAATTAATTTTACTGAACTAAACTTATTTTTACTGAACTGAAATTATTTTTACTTAATATTATTTTTTTTAAGGTGAAGAGAATAGGGCCTAAGTTTGAGCTCGATCTTCGCTTACTCCCAATTTTTCTGTTCGTAATCTAGTTGATCGATTTTTTAATTGATTATTATCTCAATTTTTTTTCTGGTGATTCAGGTTTGTTCAATTTTTCTTATTAAGTAAAAATAATTTCAGTTCAGTAAAAATAAGGTCAGATCAGTAAAATTCAGTTTTCTTAAAAAAGAATTATAATAGAAAATCAGTAAAAATAATTTCAGTTCAGTAAAAATAAGTTCAGTTCAGTAAAAATAATATCAGTTCAGCAAAATTAAGGTGAATCAAACAGGGCCTAAGTATTGAGAGAGTGTTTTGGTGGCTTCAACTTATCACAGATTAATCTTGTCAAGTGAGGGTACTTATGGTATGCAATATTATTCTTTGAACCGTTATAATAAACAAAACTTATAAGACAGAAAACAATAACAGCAAAAGTTACTTCAATTTTAGACATACTTTATCTAACATAGACCATGTAAAAGAAAAAATTACAACTAAAGTTACCTGATACATGAACGGGGAAATGACCATGTTGGATCAACAAGTCGAAGTGAGAAACAACAGATAAGAAGGAAGCCGAGAACGTAACAAGTATTGCCACCGGAATATTCCTACGATCCCCAACACCGACAATCCAATACAAAATCATGTCGTAAACAATAGCTGTTGTTGGCGGTTCGAGTCGGTCTAAGAGCCGCTCAAAGGGGTCCTGAAGCTTGGTCAGTACAGCTTCTACGAACCCGGGAAAATCACCGGATCGGCCTATTTCAGAAGGTATGACTTGAGGAAGTGAAGCGAACCGGAAGTTAGCCGGTGGTTGTGGGAACTCAGAGCTGAGGAAGCTAAGCCATTCTTCAGTGACAACAAAAGTGATGAGGATATCATTGGATTTTGTAAGGATAAGCTTACATAAGTTTAGCATGGGGTTTACGTGGCCTCTGCCGGGGTACGGCATCGCCACCATGTGGCGGTTTTTGTTGGCGGAGTTGTTCATACTACGAATAATGAAAGGCTCTACCCAATTTGCGATGAATAAATTATGAGAGGCTCTAACCAACTTTCAAAGATGCATCTCATGCTAAACTTGTGCAATTTATGAATCAACAAGGCACATGTAAGGACCTGCTCACCCAGTACACCGAAGGATAATTTAAAGGCAAAATTAGTAGTGTAGTCCCACATACTACGACTAGTCACTATGATAGAGGTTGAGAACCATAAGCCCATAATAGTAGTTAGTTGAGCTCGTTTGGCAAAGAATTAAAGAACTTCACCCACCCTCTTTGCCCTCCTCATAAGCATGTGCAAGTAACCTGTTTCTTCCACAGATCCACCCTCTTCGCCCTCCTAATAAGCATGTGCGAGTAACCTGCTTGCCTGGAAGGTAAGGAGACGGGTTGTAACCGTTGTATAGTAGTGGTTGGGGAGGGGAAGGCTGTGGCTGTGCGTGAAGCTAACATAAGTTCATAACCAGTTAGACAATTCTCTACAGCCTACAGTGTCTACCAGATCCATAGTGAAGGGAAAGGAGTCCAACAAAATCAAAATCCAACATCCTTGTTAACTACACTTCTGCAGCCTGCTTGTCCTGTAAATTTAGTCTAGGAGCACATATGTCAAACTGTAGTATGTTGCTTAAGGTATAAATTGGAGCTTCACAAGCAAAAGCCAAGGTTTAAGTTTAGGTCTTGACAAACTCTTAGCCTAAGATAAGCTAGATTAAGATTTACTCACGTAAAACAGAGACTATATATGCTCAAAAAAGTTACGCACCACAACAAATGACCTACATTCATCATATTAGGTGGCCAACAAAATCAAAATTAGTGCCAAAAAACACGATAACAAAGATGATGGATGTATGACACAAATGATTTAAGACTATGGCAGTACATAAAAGTATAAAACAACTCAATTTGTCTAGTTTAACCAAACTGGAAGCAATCAACTTCTATCCTCAATACTTGACTGGTGCAAGAATTTCTAGTTGGGAACCAAGCTTCTCCTCAGTTGCCTTCTCAGCCTTCACCCTCAATTTGTTTAGCTGCTTCTTCCTTTCGTAAACAACCTTGGACCTCTCCTTTCTCTTCTCCTCAAGCTCCTGCAAGTAAAAACAACAATCAGCAGAGAAATACCAACACAGCAAGTAAAGACAGATTTAGTTCATAGTTCCAGAATTCAAGAACAGATGAGATCAAATATCATAACAAGGTTTCCATCATAGCAAACAAGTCATGCAAGCATAAAATTCTAAACTTCAAGCAGACAAGTTCCTAAATTAGAGAATGTGTATATTAAAACAACGCCTCATTAGTAAGCATCAGCAGATAGAGGGGGCAAAAATATCAATTCAAATACATACTAATTGAAGTCCACAATAGAAACTAATTGAAGTCTATGTATCAACCAAGTATAATAAATCACCACAATTATAACATGATAGTAACTAAACATGAGCCAAAAAACAATTTAAATGAGGTTCAACAAGCAAAAAAGTAAAAGATAAACGACAAAAGCTAATAAAAAATATGCGTACCCTGATGGTGTCGTAGTGGTTCCAGCCGACTTCCTTTGATAGACGGCCAAGCAAGCAGTACTTGTGACCCTTTTGAAGCCTCAACACCCTGAATTTCCCCAACAAATGATACAGTCAATACTTAAAGAACCCAAAATTGACACAGCAAAATCAAATTACGAACTGTAATCAACAATATAAGAATAAACAATAAATTCTTTCAAAAAAAAAAAGAATAAACAATAAACCAACTCACTTAAGAGCGTCGGGAACAACCACCCTCTTGATTTTGTCATAAGGTGGGGGAACTCCTTCATACACCTTCAACCTTGCCAATGCAGCGGCTCCCCTCTTTGTCTTGTGAGGAATCATACTAAACAAGCAATTTCACAATCATTACCATTTACCACAAACGATGATCACTAAACAAAAAATCAAACTCTAATCACAAGGAGACCAGAACCTCTACAACCATAAGAGTATTAATCTACGAGACGATCCAACCATATTTTATCTCACTATTCAATCTTTTTCTTCTACTGTGTATTTCAAGTAATAAAAGCTTTTTAATAATGTGGCAGAAAAACAAATGTAGCAATTTGTGATATGAGATAAACAATCTTGGAGGCAAACTTTAATCTACAACAATCAGAATTATAGCCCTAATAACTTGATTCAACAAAATGCGTCATCTTTAAATTAAAAATAAAAATAAAAAAATAAAAATAAAAAAAAAATTAAAAAAAATAAAAAAAACAGGATTTAGTCATTAAATCAAAAACAGGCAGAAATAAGTACTCTATCCTCTAAACATCACACTTAGCTAAATAAATTCACATCCAATTTTCAAGCATAAACAAATTAAGTGTAAAATCGCAAAATAATTCATGAAACAAATTACATTTCTCAAACATAGAAGCAATCCTATATCATCATGTATCAATCAAGCATATAAAATACCAAATAAAAAGATGGAAAAACCTAAATCCAGAATCCAACAAAAAGAGAAAAGCAGGAAATACCCTCGAACAGTACGCCAGAAGATCTTAGAAGGAGCACGGAAATGAATAGGACCGTGAGAAGGCTTAGTGTTCATCCTCTTACGAAGAAATCGAAGGTACTTCATCTTCTGCCTCACAAGACCACCAGAAAGTGCGATCTCTTCGCAACGAACCACAACAACGCGTTGCCCAGTAAGAAGCTCCTTTGCAACAATGGAGGCTAGACGCCCCAACATGTGGTGTCGGGCATCCACGACCACTCTCTTCGCCATTACTCCTGAGCCTGAAACTGCAATCATAATTCACAGTTATCATATTGAACAATGATCAAAATTGTTGCGCAAATTCGAACAAGAAAGAGATAGATAGAGTTACCCATGGCTGCTGCAGTAGAGAAATGGTGAAATTAGGGTTTTGGTCTCGACTAACAATTGAAATAGGGGCTTAAATGGTTAGGGTTTCTTCTGATACTTCGGGTTTTATGATAATGGCCTTCTGTTTGGTATAGTGGGCCATTTTTTGGGCTTTTATGTAATGGAAATGCGCTTTGGATATCACTTATGTAATTACCGGCCAGGCTGAGTTTGGGCAGGAATGGGTTTGGGCTGGGCTGGGCCAAGCTGAGTTTAGGCATGAATGGGTTTGGTCTGGGCCGAGAGCAAAAAATTAAGCCCTTTTATTGGGTCGGGCCAATCTTGGGGCCAGAATATATGAACCCAAACCCGTCCAAACTACCCGGGCCATGCGGGCTTTTCGGGCCAAGCTAAAAAAATTAAGTAAAAAAGCATAAAATTGATTTCCCAAGCCCGCCCAATTTTTTTAATTAATCAAGCCGGAACAAACTGTCCAAAATCAGGCTTGCGAGTTGGGTTCGACTTGATCAGGTCTACCAAAAATGACTAAACTCGAAATTGAAACGATCTGAATAAGTCCTAACACGTTAGTCATTATTTATTTGACTCCTTTACAACCTATTACGGAGTATGTGTTTACGCTATGTAGCTATTTAGGGCCTGTTCATATTTACTTATTTTCAGTTCAGTTCACTTCAGCTCTAATCAGTTCAGCTCAATTCAGTAAATATGAACAGGCCCTTAATCCTGGTTCAATTAGTAAACCCATAACTTGTTTTATATGAGTTGTTTATTTATTAGTGATCGTTTAATTCAACTCGTTAACAAATTGGTGACTTGGAAAATAAGGGATTTGTTAAACATCGCCCACAAATTACTACATAAAGCCCACAAAATTCACTTGGTTTCCCTAAATTGCCCTTGACCTTAAAAAAAAAAAAACACTCACACTCTCATCACTCACACTCTCATCACTCACACTCTCATTGCTCATCTTCTTTCAACCTCTCTAAAAAAAAAAAATTCAAAATAACGGCAATGTCGAGGCGGCAAGGCAAGGAAGTGGCGGCGGCGGCGGAGGGAAGGATGTCCCAAGGTGGAAAGGTATATTTTGTTTAAAAAAAAAAAAAAAGGGGGAAAACCGCCGTGAACGCGGTGGGGCGCCCTGGCTGGACGCCCAGCCGGCGGTGGTGGCGCCAGATGCAGACGCCGCCACCAGTTGGCTGGCGTCTGGGCTGGACGCCACCGCCACGGTTGTGGCGTTTAGTCTGTAAACGCCACAACCGTGGCGGTGGCGTCCAGCCCAGACGCCAGCCAACTGGTGGCGGCGTCTGCATCTGGCGCCACCACCGCCGGCTGGGCGTCCAGCCAGGGCGCCCCCCCCCCTTTTTTTTTTTTTTTAAATTTTTCTAAAAAATTGTTTTTAAATTTTTTTTTTTTTTTTTTTTGTAATATAATTTTGAATTGTTTTTATATTTTGTTGTTTATTTTTATATATTTTTTCAATTACGTTGTATTTTTTCTACGTTTATATTTTGTTTACTATTATTTGTTTGTTTTTAGTGTATTTGATTTGCGATGATGATTATTTATCGTATAAATTTTTGTATGTTTATATATTTTAAAATTTTGTGTAGGGTCGTCATGGTGGGGGGAAGAATATAGAGCTTCTTAGTAGAAGTTATTCAGTGGAGAGGTCGGGGCATAGACATGTCAGATCCCGTGGTATTTCGGCCTCAGTTCGTAGAGAACGGATCCACCGTCGGGATGAGGATGACGATGACGATGATGATGCTGAGGAGGGTGACCAGGAGGAGGAGCAGGAGGAGGGCGCAGATGAGGATGAGGATGTGGACGATGGCAGTGGACCGTATGATGATTACGGTCCATTCAGTCAGAGGGTTGATGACATGTACGAGACGCATATGGTGGAGGTGCGTAAGGGTAGGGGTGGTAGATTTGTTAGTAGATCTGGCACATCATCTGCGTCCACTGTCTCTGGGGCAAGCAGGAAACGGTCGAGGGCGGGTAATGATTCTTGGGTTGTTAGGAGTGAGGTGCCCGGTGGGCCTGTTGACGGGAGTGTGATTCCTAGCTTTCTAGGACACATAGCTGCCCGTATTTGGGAGGACCAGGAGAGGCCTTCAGTTACGGGGTTGTTGAAATGTCATACCCGGGAAAAGACTTGTAGTTTTTTGCGTACATGGGCTGAGGCCTGGCCGGCGGAGAGCGAGATGTTCGAGCGACTGGAGGGCACTGGGGTGAAGCACGTTCCTGCCACCATGCACGATAAGATTGACAGTACGCTGATCACGGCTTTCATTGAGCGATGGCAGCCGGATACAAACTCTTTTCACCTTCCGTTCGGTGAGATGACGATCATGTTACATGACGTCGAGGCCATTCTGGGGATTCGTGTTGAGGGTAAACGACTTTGTGCTGTGGCTGATGCGGATCAGGCAGATTCGTTGGCGGAGTTGTTGGCGGTGGACAAGGGCTGCACTGTACACCGAGGCGCTAGGTGTTTGGGAACACGGAGGTGTGAAGATCGCATCTGTGTTGCAGCGGTGTTTGTACCCGAGTGCACGTAGGACGCCCGACGCACAGCTGAGTGCTTATGTTTTTCTACTCCTCGGATGTACCTTGTTTCCGGATAAGAGCGGCGGAAACAAGCTCAGGCCACGCGACATCGTAGAGGCGTGTGACCCCGACAGTGTAGGCCAGTTTTCCTGGGGATCGGCTACGTTGGCGTATTTGTATCGC